TGGCATTATCAACCACAGAGTTGACGTTCGGTACGCAGAGTTGAAAAGCAGAGTTTATATGTATTTATACTTTGCTGGTCATCGACATCTAGAACTCAAATGACTCATCAAAAATCTAATACAACAAACAAATCAAAAAACAATACCATATCAGACATAACATCTTGACTATAAATGTTTGATATTTTCTAACTACTTGTTTAACAATATTGAGAAACAATTACTTATTAATAGTAGCCTCTGCTGTGATAATAAACACTGGTTAAAGCTGGTTATAGCTGATACAAATTGTAAACTGATTCTCCTTATCGATCTTTGGCACAAAAATGTTACATAAATAATATCTAGAGTTATTATATAATATCTATCAAGACCTGAAAAGCGCTGACAGTTTTTTTTAATTAGAATCTGAGAAATTAATTGGATTCGCAATTATAAAAACAAATAATTGTCCTTCAACGATAATAAATGTGAATTCCTTGGAACTTGTTAAAATGTTAAAAGGTACTTTTTTCATAACAACATATCATCCTACCTTGTTACCTTTTGAGTAAGAATTTTATAAAACTCCGTCTCAGTGTGTCAATTCAGTATAAAGCAGGGTACATACATGTATCCTTACAATGAATATAAATGTAATATTTGCCGCTGCAAATTACGCAGCCATCAAATTATCAATCAATCAAAAACGATATTCACCAGTTATACATATATATATATATATATATATATATTCAGATTATATTTTTTATTATTATTCTTATCTTTGTATACTTATAGGTTTCATAACGAGTTAGAATATCGCCGTCTCATGATGCCGGATAAGCCAATCAAATTAAAGCATTTTTCATATCACGTTTCGTATCACACTCCGTGCAATGTGAGTGCGAGAAATATCTCTTCATGCGAGAAATAGACAACAAATCACAACCATAAGAGAATGAATGACATTTAAAACACTACAGAAAGAAACTCTGTTATAATCAAATATACTTTAATACGATCATATCCTGCATTACGTCAGACCTTCTGGGACATCCAAGTAAAGTTTAAATTAAAGTTAGGGCTAATTTCCATTGAACTTTATCACAAGGACATTTTCAGAAAATCTTCCTTTCTTAATCCCCCCCCCCCCCCCCCCTCCAAAAAAAAAATAAATAAAATAAATATCTTTGTTTAAAGAAGTTTAATCGTCACAAATAAGACTGCATAATTTGGAACACATTGTTCATTTGAAAAAAAAATATATATCAGTATTCAGCTAACAGCTGTGGCTCTAGTTCCTGTAGAAGCAACATATTTGACTAGTTACAGGGGCGGATCCAGCCATTTTTTAAAGGGGGGGGGGGGGGGGGTTCCAACCATATGTCCCCATTCATTGATCGTAAAAAAAAAGTGGGTTCCAACCCCACCCCCCTGGATCCGCCACTGAGTTATTACTTAAGTATGTGCCGTCTTTTATTTGCTTGTTTACATTTGTAGTCGTCCTATTTCTAATTGGACTGTGCAGGTTTTTTTTGTGTTTTACTTTTACGACATATGTCTAGATAGGCATAAAGGGGCGGTTGGTGAACACGAAAAACTAGTATAACCTCATTTTGTAACTGAACCAAACAAAAAAACTGCAAGCTTACTTTGAATATCAGGATTTAATTATTTATTCTTATGTATTTATTATTCACTTGCTGTTTTTCAAACAATAATTGAAATTTATTTACATTTAGGACGATGATTAACCAAATTTACGTTTCTTTTTTCCGTTGAACAATAGGAACGTAGCGAGAATTATACGAACTATATTTATTTCAGGCTTTGTACATTCAAAATCGTTAAACAAAATATTGCATGCCGCTATATAATATTACACACTAATCTTGCCTGAACGTTTGGTAGAATCTTTAGTCGTTCCGGGTGTGTTTAACGATAAAGCAGTTTTATACCAACGATTGAAAAACGTGGCGGAACAAAAAAAAACATACTGTCGCGTTATGTAGTGGTAGTTTGAAAAATCTGAGTAAATTGTCAATTATTATGCTTTAAAATAAATTTATAATGATATATTATAAAAGTGTTATTGCTAAAAGAATTAGGAATACCGTTCCTCGTGGCTTATCCTATTACTGCTTTGGACAATACTCCTTAATTTGATAGTACAATAAATAGAGTTATTGCATTAAATCTTTAAGAGTCTCTCGGCATGATTCGATCTCAAGCTATTGAAAACATCATCGAGAAAACTGCTTCAATACTTTTCTCGGCCAACTATGCAAATAAAATATAGTTTTCGTTAGACGAGTGGTGCTTACCTTGTCGGCTTTATCTAAGTTTGTTACACACACACACAAACACACACACGCATTCCAACACCCCGATGTAATATGATGACTCAATGTTAGAAACTCAGAACATCATATACAAACTAAACATCAAATTGTTCACGTGTTGTCAGATTGAAGATCATACAATTTAATACCGTCCAATAATATATGAAGGATAAAGAATATTAACCTTCTTATGGAATAAATTAATATAAAACATGTACTATCAATGGAATATATGCGGAAGAATAACAAAAATTTGTCAATGTCTATATACGACGGTCACCCTTGTTGGCAAAATCACTACACAGACCCCTATGGGAGCAATCGATGATTGACTACCTTAGTCCTGACACTTAACAGACACGTTCAATACTTTCCACGCGGATGTTAACAAAATCGTGTTCTCCCAGACTTAAATATCAATTAGTACACATCCAATGGATTTAGCGTAAAGTAAACACGTTTATTTAAGACTTTAAGACGACCTTTTTTTGGTTTTGACCTTTTATTTGTTTTGTTCTGTTTTGCTTTTTAATGTTTGTTTTAATTGTTTTGTGTTTTGTATTTGGATTCCAAATGTTGGAGGTACCCAATGAGATGTTTCGAGAAGACATGTCGTACTTTTAATATAATTTCCATATTTTTCGGTACCGCTGCTGGATGACTGTAATTTTCCGATGGAACCATTTATTCAGTAGCATGCGCTTTAGCACGGGAAAGAGTTAATTGTTACTTGAGCTAAGGTTAATTCCATCTGTTAAAGTTAGCATAAACCGTTGTTATGGCGTTATGTTTACCCGTTTAATTTTGAATCTTACAACTGGTCATGTATTTGCCTTCGTAATTCGTTTGCCTTAGCAGTTTCAGATGTATGTGTCGTCAGCAATGCAATACGCATCGTTAGTTTGCATTGCTATTGCTGTATTGGTAACGTGGCTTGGGGACTGTCAGTTCTTTAATTGTGCTTGAATCTTCAACAGGAATATTCCATTTTACGGTTTTGACTGTTCTTTAACCTCCTTTCAGTTTTTACTTTTCAAGTTTTTGTATTGGTCTTCCAAAATCTTTGGTTTAGAAGTTACCTCATGAAGGTTATGTTGTGCGAATTAGAATTGGTATCAGATATTCATATTACTAGAATATTTCACTCAAGGTCGGTGTAAGACAGTAGATTCAGTGGGTGAAATATCGATCTAAGACGGCTAACAGCGAAAGTTTTATCACAGGAAATAGGAATTTTGTTTTTCCCTCTTGTCTTAATTATAGCAAAATCACAGCAAAACTCATGTATTTCAGTTCAGTTCCTAACATGTTATTTTATAACTCTTTTTGATTTCTTTTTAGCGGCTGTATCAATATCTTCCCATATCTACAAACATCTTGTGCAATCATAATTATATATATAAAAAAAAACACACACACACACAAACACACAAACACGAAAGGGAAATTTGCTTTATCTTTGTCTACATAATGACCTTGCAATTTATCAATTTCAAATATTCTTCTCAGATAAATTTCTACAAAAATATGAAAAAATAAGTATATTTATAGCATGACAAACTAATCACACAGCGGTCAAAAAGAAAAAGAATACAAGGCTATTTTAATAATTAATTATAGTTTTCAATGCAAGTGGAGATGGTATCGCTACCAAGAACTGTCGGAACACCCTTCTTTATCTAGTTAAAGAAGGTTTGGATAGCATAGATCAAGCTGTTGGCTTTCTCTTTTGAATGTTTCACATTTTGACATGCCGGGGTCTCTTATAGCTCACTATGCGGTATTCGTTTAACTCACTGTTGAAGGCCGTATGGGGACCCTAAATAGTTGTTTACCTCTAGTACTTTTGTCTCTAGAAGAAGGTTGTCTCATGATCAATCTTCTTATATTTATATAAATATTATAGCTCTAAGTAGGATGTTTTTTTACCATAAATCTATCCGAGTTCTACCGAATTAAAACATTAAAATTTTCAGGAAATTATCGTATATTTATAAAACCTTAATAAACCTTGTGCTGGTCAGTAGCAAAACACTTGAATTCTACTATTTTAAGTCCTCCTTATCAAACGTATTTCACTAAAATGGAATTTTAACAATAGTAATACAGATTTATCTTGTGAGTATGCAAAAGCGATACTAAAGGACTGTTGTGTCCGTTCTATACTTTTTCAATTTTAAAAGATTGAATAAATCTCTTTTAAGAGCCCTTGACTCCATTTTGTATTACTGATAGGACATTTACTAGTTTTCAATATTTGATTTTTGATCGAATGCAGCTCTCCGGATTTTAAATTTTGAACTGAAGTCTGTAATGCTTTTTGATAATAATTATGCATTGATACAGATACAACAAAATTTAAATATTTTGGTGTTTCATTTTGTGGTAATGGTTTTTGACAGTAATTTCTACGGTTAGCAAAGTGAAATGGAGATAGTTTGCTTTCTATCACATTAATTCTCAAAGGGACCAGAAAAGCATGATAAGTATATTTGCACAGTTACGGAATTGGTTTGTAATAAATTATTGTATTCACACTTTGTATTAATGTGGAAATGTGCAAAATTAATGGTAATTGATAAAGCATTTTATAAAATTGAACTCTATATTTGTCTAAATCAACTTCATTTAATGATTTAAAGTGTTTCATATTACGAACTAGTATTAAAAACTTGCCTGTTATAATTGAGAGCCTTCTAATGGCGGGAAATGGGTGGTTACCAGAAGTGTCTAATACATCCAGGCGATATGATTGTCCTTTGATACGATATATTTTACGATGAAAGTCTTCAATAGTTGGTGTATACACATCCTCAAATTTATTTTTCAAGAATCGGTTAACCAAAGACGTTTTACCAACTTTGCTAGAGCCTAAAAGCACCAGTCTGTAACAGTTTGATGGGGGTATATTCTCTCCTTGATCTGCCATGACGCTACCGGTCGTTAAAATACAGGATCCGTCCTGATACTCGGATGGTGATCTCCAAGAACGACCACATAACAAAAGCGATGTCATCATTGTTTAACTTCTAATGAACAGCATTATTTCAAATTCAAATCACTGTGAATGTATACAACACCTTGTTCCGATCGATGTACAATCTTACAATGTACGCTAAGAATTGCTTTTAATATAAGTTGAGATTTTACGCCAATTAGAAGAACTGTTTCTAATTGCTGTTTAGTCACTGGGATGTGAAGAAGCTTTGATTTGGCCAGGTAATTCCATAATCACATACGAATTAAGCAAGATTCTTGATCAATACTGCGGATGATAAGAAAATCAGACTTTATGAAATCGTAGTATTGTTAATTGCAAATAAATAGGTTATTGGTTTGTCATTTATAGAATAACAGACATGCTATCAGTCTGTTATTGGTCAACCATTTGAATTAGGCAAAATGGAAAATGTTTCCAACTCAACAGGCACTGGAAAATTACTGTCATTTCTGTAGTGTAAAGCTTTTATACTAAAAACTATCAATACCGAGATAAGAAAAAATAGAGGTTAAACGCACTTAACAGCTGACCTTAATTGTGTTAGATATCAGTTCTCCAGTATTTAATCTATTGGATAACGTGGAAGTATAAATAAAGACAACCGGTTTTTATCCCATGACATAGCATGGTATAATTTTCCTATTTGTGAAAATAAGCCATTTTATCGACTTATTTGATCAGTTCTACCGTACGCGTGTACTTTTATGTTATAGAGTTACGAATTGGACTGGTTCATATTTAGTTTTTTTTTAAAAGCATTTACTAAGGCGTGGTAAGAAGAAAAAAATATTGATTGTAGCACAGATCAATTGTTTTTTTCGAATGTTTAGACGTTAGAATAGCAGGGGTATCACGACAAGGGTTTAGGCGATCACTTCATTTTCACTTTTGTCACGAATATATATTATTGATTTCTTTTATATATTTTCATATTTATTTTTTGTTGGTTCCTTATTTTTTATACAATTGTTTTGTACAAACTTGAGGACACATTCTCTTATGTCAAAATTAAAGAAATTTTGATATTGCTATTCAACTAAAATAAAATGCCTTCTATATATCCTTTTTGTTTCAGATGACTATTAACTAACCAAGGTGGCTTCCAGCTGAAAGTAAAAAAAACTTACAGCCTTCTAACTAGTATTTGACTTGAGTGTTTAAAATTCATATATGCAGGAATTACTCGGTTAACACTTACAATTGTTGTCGCCGTTGCGAAACTTGATTACCAGAGCCCTCTCAGATGAAATTGAAATTAGAGTAAGCTTAAACATTACTTGAATAGATAACATGTTGTATGTACCTGTCCTAAGTCAGAAGCCTGTTGTTCAGTGGTTGTCGTTTGTTGGTGTGGTTCATAAGTGTTTCTCGTTTCTCGTTTTTATATAGATTAGACCGTTGGTTTTCTTGTTTGAATTGTTTTACACTAGTCATTTTCGGGCCCTTTATAGCTTACTGTTCGGTGTGAGATAAGGCTCCGTGTTGAAGGCCGTACTTTGACCTATAATTGTTTATTTTTTATACATTGTGACTTGTATGGAGAGTTGTCTCATTGGCACTCATACCACATCTTCTTATTTATAGATATAATTAGCCAAATCATTTAGTTTTCTAACTGTAATGTTTGGATGTTAACCATCACCAGGTATGTTCAAGGACAGATGTTTGTGGAAGCCCAACATATACAATGATTGTGAGAGAGAGGCGAGATACAAAACCCGGGGGTGATCACAGGTGCTCCGGAAGTGTAAGCAGATCCTGCTCCACATTATGTGAGCATACTAATAAGAAGAGTTCACACCCTGAAATTTGTCGCCTGCTTACTGATTTTAAATATATGATCAGGGTCTTACTAAAAGTATAAGAGAAACTTTAACATTTTCAATGATCTTTGAAAATACGGACAAGGTCAGATGAACCTGTCAGACACATATGTACACCTTCATTCTATAATGACCTATTTATATTTATAGAACATTGTATTTGATAAATAGATCTTATCACGGAAAGTTAACGCTGGCCAATAAAGCGTGGAAATGAGGTCAAGGTCAGGTGAGCAAGGTCAATCGGACATGTATACTTTACAATTTTTCTATACACCCAACATATATCACCAAATACTTACAGTATCTGGGAAACATACCTGATTGCTGAAACTTAAGCCTATAGGAAATGAAGCATGCTAATGAGGTCAAGATCAGAGGGACATGTACACCTAGTTGATCTATAACTATTTACAGTATCTGAATAACAAACACAATCACGAAACTTAAAGTTTATCACTTAACCATGAAATGAAGTTAAAGTCAGACGACCTCTGTCAAAGGGAAATGTATACCTTGTATTTGAAGGCGCTTCGGACACATTTAACTTAAGTGTTATTTTCAATTTCTATTGAACGTGGTGGAAATCGCTACTAATGTACTGTTCGTCCTCAATTTTAATCAGCCCAGTAGTCAGTTCTTCCTTACTGACATGATGTAAAATCTTTAATTTTTAATCTTTAATTTCCGTTCACAGATTTGGAAATTACTATGTAAGGTGACCTTAGGTGGTTTGGGCTATTTTGTTTAGTTCCTTTTTGATCATATAGCTCCTCAAGTTACCTGAAGTATGTATACATCCACGGCTTTCAAAATTTGATTTTGAGCGTTTCTGACGAAAGTAGTAATTGTTAGTGTCCAGTGGTAAGGCCAGCCCAGTATTTATAACATACACATTTCTTTAATTTTCCATTGATAAATTAAGAAAATATTGGAAAACTAAGGCTGTACCCCAATCAAGCAAAGTTGTCCTTATACACTCCAATATGGTTTTGCCTATTCTTTTAAGTTCTATTTTGGTCGTATGTTAGTCCCTTAGGTATTTACACATCCCCGGCTTCAAACATTTGTTTCTGATCTACAAAAGTATGTATGACGTTCAAAATTTATGAAGTGTTATTTTCATTGCAAAAAATATCCATACCAAGTATTCTTATTACTTATGAAAATGGATAAAAACGTGCTAAACCTATACAGTTTTTAAAAGTGGTCATTAAGACATAAATTAGGTAATGAGAAAACATATGTCAGACGGAAATATCAGACAGTAAGGCCCTATGTATACACAACAAAAATAAGGAGATAGGCATGATTGTCGATGAGACAACTATCCACCAGAGAACAAAGGACTACGCAGTTAGCAACTATATGTCAACTTAAGGCCTTCAACAATGAGCAAACCACATACCATATAGTAAGCTATAAAAGGTCCTGCCATTGCCCAAAGTGAACTATTCGAACGAGAAAAAAACAACCACTTGATATATACTTAAACAATAAACGAAAAACAAAAATGACACACATCAACCTACGACAACCACAAAATTACATGCTCCTGACTGGAGACATGCACATTAATAATGGCCCGAGGACACAGTTATCGTCCTTAGAACGAATATAGTCCCTAGTGTGGACAGTGCATAACTTACAAATTTATTTCTTTATATTTTATGCATGAAATATTAAGTAAGGGGATGAAATTACATGTTAAAACAATTTGGGTGCTGAATCTTTATGTTAAGTAGTGATTTGGTCCAGTTAAAAAAGGTCAAAAACTAGTATGTATGAAGCTGTCAAACTGAATTTTAGACCCCGTTAACATAGAATTGTCAATATTTTGAGTTAGAGCTGGTAGACTTTTCTATAATTTTGATATTATTTGTCCCTATAGTAGTACACTACACTATAAAAATCTTTTTGAGATAGAGCAGGTGCGATTTTTTTAATTTGAATTTATTGTCTTAAAGAAATGCACTACAAATTACTGTGTTCTCGGGCCTAATGTGCTGGGGTAAAACAGGTTCGTGAGCGCTCAGCAATCCCCCCCCCCAACTCGATAGAGTGGTGTAGCAGCACACATTAGAAATAAGAGCTGCGCCATGAACGCATGATACGCCCGTCGCTTTTTCAACGAATAAAGTTCAATAACTCCTCAATGTCATATCAGAAATTTGTAAAAAAAAAAACTAAAGGGAGCCTATTCTAATAGATATAACTAGTCACCAAAGTTATATGAAAACTGCTTAAAGCATTTTTGAGTTTTTGTCCGAAAACTGGAATGTCCCTCCTTTTTATAAATAAAAACCTATAACTCGGAAACGTAAAATCTGAAATTTATAAAAATCGAAAGGGAGATTACGTGAATAGATATAAACAATTTACTAAAGTTTAATGAAAATTGGTTAAAGCGTTTATGAGTTATTGTCCGAAAACATGAAAATCCCCCCTTTTTTCTATACTGAATAAAATCCAATAACTCAGAAACTTAAAATTAAAAATTTATAAAAATCGAAAGGGAGCTTACGTCAATAGATATAATCAATTCATCAAAGTTTCATGAAAATTGGTTAAAGCGTTTTTGAGTTATTGTCCGACATGTTTACGACGGACGGACGGACAGACGTACGGACAACGGTATACGGTAATACGTCCCGTAAACGGGCGTATACAAATACCTAAAAATCAGTTAAAAGAGGATGGGCTTATCAGACCGACAAAAAGAAACAAACTAACACAAAGACATAAGACACAAAGTAACGACGTAAGAGCTTGCAACATAAACAAAGAGTCACCATAAAGGTTGTAATATCCCATTTGTAATATGGTTTCTAAAGATACAGGCAAGTTTCTTACCGAAATATTTGTATCAATGAAAACAAAATATTACAAGTTTTTCTTTAAGTAATTAGGTGTATCGAAATCCATGACTTAATTATCAACAGCTACATGTATCACTACAGACATGTACATAGTTGGGAGATACACAGCGTCAGAAGGGACAAAGGAACATCCCCGTCCAAAAAAGTAAATTACCATTAGGGAATAAAAATCGTCTTTTTTATCGTTAATTTTTGTAAAGGGTTTTCCGTGTCAAACTGAAAAATTCATTTTTGGATGAGGACAAGTATTGCTATTCTTATTAGATTTGCCAAAAATTTAAGTCCAGCGCGAAATAGCTATATATCGTGATTTATGTTGTCAAGGAGAAAATTTACAACTTTAATCATCTCATCCCAGTTCCAGTAAATATATATAGTATATTTACCTTTTCCATGATAAAAGAAGCCCTTATATTATTTGCAGCAAACAAATTTGCAATCAGATGGATCATTTGATTAAATAAGAAAACTTCTGTTTGATAAGAATGTATGGAAGTGTAGTATTAAGAGTCGAAAAGTCATAACTGTCAACCGAATGAAAGGACCATTAAAATCACTGATCTTTCTAAAAAATATGAAGTTTTTTTACACTTCAAAAGTAATAGATTCCATTATTTTCGTATACTTTATTAGAAAAGTTAGTAATAATGTCTGTAATAAAACTTCTTAAAAGGACACAAACCTTAGTTGTAAGACTTACTAGAAGCCTAGACGAAACGATATTCAATATGGGTTTGTGGTCATTTTGGTAGCTAATACTTAATACGGAACTTCAAACGTCCAGGAGAGACCTTAAGCTGAGATGTGGTAATTATATGATTGTTTACCATCTTAACTCTCTGTGGAGCGAATGGCCTTGAATGTAGAAGAATTCACAGTTTTATTCCCAAGAACTTCCGTCATTCAACTACCACATTGTTGGATGCTTTATCGGCCGGTACGAACACAAAACGCATTGCGAGTACTTGAATACAAAAATAGGGAGATGTGGTATGATTGCCAATGAGACAACTCTCCACCCTAGTTCAAAGGAAGTGGATGTCAGCAATTATAGGCAACCGTACGACATTCAACAATGAGAAAATCCAGTACCGTATAGTCGGTTATAAAAGGCCCCGACATAAAAAATATGAAACAATTCAGTTGAGAAAACTAACGACCTAATCTATAAACAATTTACGAAAAACAAATATGACAGACATGGACCAACGACAACCACTGAACTACAGGCTCCTGACTTGGGACAGGCACACAAAGAATGTGGCGGGGTTAAACATGTTTGTTAGCGCTCAACCCTCCCCTAACATGGGTTAGTGGTGTAAAAGCACAACATACGAACAAACTATAAAAATCAGTTGAAAAAGGTTTAACTCATCAGATAGATACAAAGCAGAAAAACATCAAACAAAAACACATACCGGACTTGGCAGGGTATTTATCCATCCCTCATCCCCAACAACAAAAAAGACACTAAGTGCAGATCATAGAGTACTCGCAGTTACTGACAGATAGTTCAAAGTCAATAACAACTAATAAATAAAAATCATGTATCTCAGACGAAAATATCAATAAGTACACATCCAACATCCAATGGATTTAGTGTAAAGATGTCATTAACAATCAGAGAAAAACATGACCTTGTGCAATGCCAACATATAGGTATCGACAGATTGTAGTACCGTGAAAGCACATATGCGAATAACAATAATATTTAGTATGGTTTTAATTTACTGATAACAAAATCAGTAAATTAAATACTTATACCAATAAAAACCATATTCAAAGATTCAATTACAGTGTTGAATTGTTAACCTTTTAGAATAAGTTTATTTAAAGGATTGATAAGTTTAGCAGGATCGTATCTAAATTTACGGGCACGGTTAACAACTTCCCCGTAAAATTTAGGAATTGCTATTTCGTTTGAAATAAGTTTTCTACAGGTACAGCATGAAGTCTGTTTCTGACCACAGAAATAGGCATGCTTAATATTCGTTTCAATCACTTCAATCATTAAAAAAAAATAGAAATGTTAAATGCGAATATCCTAAGAATTCACACATTTATTCAAAACCAATCAAGCGATTATCTATCAGATATCGCCCGTTTTCCCCATTTTTACAATAAGACGAAAGCTCTTCTACCATCTGAAATACGAAGTTCTATACAAATAACAAGCGCCGTTGTTACAGCCAGATAAGCAACTTTTGCCTTGCTTTGTAGCACGCGAAATGAAACAGCCGTTACAGAAAAGGAAAATGCGCCTAACGTTTACTTTGCTTAAATGTAGTTTCAACCTTACTTATCCTATAGTTACATTTTTTCAATGAACATTTACAAAAACAACAGGGAGATAACACTAATAACTTTAGAGGCATATTGGAAAAAAGCCTGAATTTAAATTGTCAGTAATTGTTGATTACATGGTTATACAAAAGGTTCTGGAAGGGTGAAATTTGGGACCACACAACGATCAAATAAAATGAATACGTCTTTGGATCTAAGTTAGAAAGTATCTATTCTACGGTTGGAAGAATTTGCCATTTAAAAGTGCATACACAATGCATTACCAAATAAATGCGAAAAATTATGCCTGTAAGTGAAGATATGCTAATGTAACAATTTTTATAAATTTAAATTATATCTCTTTAGTATGAGCCACGCGTATTCAGGAAAATTCGGCAATTCGTTACTTTATAAATATAGATTATACCCCGCGTATCTCACTACAAAGATTTTTTTTGATCTTATTCCTCTGAGGTTCCTGATAAATACTTTCCCCGAAAAGCGCTTTAAAAATAAAAAATCATGTATCCAAGATTTTTCGAAAATATTATATCTATGGCTTTCAAATTTATGGTAAATCCAGAAAAATTGATTCGGATGCAAGGACTTAATAAAGCGTTATTTTCATTCAGTTATGGTAGACCGTGATATATATGACCCCTGTAATCAAATTTCTGTTTCTGTTTTAGTCTGGACTGTCTGTCTTTCTAATTTTTTTTCTGAGTGCTCAAAATTTTCCAAAATATTAAAACTAAAAATATTAGAGCTGAATATAATTAATTATTTTCTCAAATACCACAAGATGTAGTTAATCAAAATTCAAATATATATCTTTATTTATGAACAAACCAAACTACATTACGTGAAGCTACGGTGGCAGAATGCGGCCATGAATATTGTGAATTTAAGTAAAAATTAACAAACTTTTGTATAATCCATCTTTCCGTATTTTTCATCTTATATTGACTTTGATGTACCATTGTTTCAATTGACAGATACATATTCCGAAATGTCAACAGCAGTAGTAACAAGTATTAACACAATAACGTACATTCTGTTCTATTTATTACGAGTTATGGTGGTCTGGATTTTTCAATATTCTTTTTTTTTGGGGGGGGGGGGGGGGGGGGGAGGTCCTTCATTTCTTTATATTTTAATTCTTTTGACAATTTTTCTCTATTCTTTATTTATGTTGTCCATTGTTCTCTATTCCTTATATTTTAGCAACCCATTATTATCTATTCTTTAATTTGTTTTGTCTTTTTTAAAACCATGTACTCTACTCCTTTTACCCGTTTAATATTAACATCTATTGTAATCTATGTAACTGCTTCTGTCTTAGTTTTGTATTCTTTTGTATGTCTGTACATATGCATTATGTAATATATTGTGTGTGTGTATCTCTATACCAATGTAATTTGATTTGTTGAGAAAAAATAAAAAACAAGTAAAGGTGCACTTTTTGTCCATTATTCTCTTATCTGTAAACTCCATCCAGACCCTTGCTTGTTCAGACTTCAAACTATTATTAATGAAGGGTCATGTAAAACAGCAACTCAACAACACTTACAAACAAGAAAATTGCGCAAACTTAAGGTTCTTATAAAATCAACGAATTTTGGAATCAACATACTGCCAGTTGGAAGGGATTCTAATGGAACTAAGCTTTTTTTTTAAATAGCATACAGGTGACTCGAGGCAATGGAAAAGTAACCAATGAAAAGACACCTTTCCGTAACATCTGAGTTCAAAATATTTTGAGTGAGGTTCGCGTTGCTCAATCCCAATTTCTTAATATAAAAATAAGAAGAGATGGTATGATTGCCAATGAGACCACTCTGCACCAGAGACCAAATAACGCAGAGGTCAATATATGAGTATATAATTTAAAAGTATAATAATCTAGAATACATCTAATAATAATTTTGTATAAAGGTTAAAAATTTGAATTAAACCTTAGACTTTTTCTTTCATTTACATTTAAAAAAATACCTGGTTCTTAACAGTTCAGTTAACGGTTCAGTAACAGTGCGAGGCAGCAAAGTACTACTTATACATATATAAAGCTCTTCATCTTTGTACTTGTTTGGCTTTATAACTAGTTTGATCTGAGCGTCACTGATGAGTCTTATGTAGACGAAACGCGCGTCTGGCGTATTAAATTATAATCCTGGTACCTTTGATAACTAATTATTATATATAAGTTTTAAAACGCAGATGTCGACAATTTCATTTGTTACGAGAAAAATATCAAGAAGTTTAAATCTGAACCTGGTAAAGTAGAAATTTTGGTAAACTTTGCGTAAACCTAAAAATGTGTCAAGCAAGAAAAAGACATTAAAAATAAATAAACCAAGGTAAACATAATCAATCAAAGTCTATTTATTTGATTTTATATTTTAAACATATAATCAATTAAACAGGAGAGTGGCGGTATTTCTCAACCATATGATACTAGGCCTATTTAAAACTGTGCGATGGTCCGGCTGTTAGTAGCACACCGTAAGTACAATCTGTAAAACTATACATTTATGAACCATTTTATACCATCAGTTTATGAGTACTATGTTTGCTGAGATAAACTACTATCAGTTAGCCTATTCCTTATTCATTTTTTATTTGTTCTCTTATTTGACTGCGTGCACCGATGATGCAGTTCAACAATATTGACAATTCTTAATAACGGTGTCGACACAAATTAAACATTTATTGTAAGACCCCTAACACAAGTAAAATAACGTTGTTTCCCGGTCCAATTTACAATTTTCAAAATATTTTTGGCTTTTGAAAAAAAATCTATACTATGAATCTCACTGTTTAGTTTTAGTCTATTAGTAAAAACTCTTTTAATATTCTGTTCATGATATTCGTAGTCCTGTAACTGACCCATCGACAAATATAAAATAAAACTTGGAGCACAATAGTGGACAACATGCAATATTCAACAACAGACAGATGTCCATACATAATGTCAAACGTTTAACCGTCCCGAGTTATGGGTAGAATCAATCAAAGTTCAGTATTAGACACATGTATATTCTCAAAATAATACAATGCATAAAAGTGACTTACGGCACAATCAATGTGTAAGTGGCAAATTGCAGAACAAAATATATTGCACTTGTCATATAATTTCATTTAAACTTATTGTATTTGCTGTTACGTTTATTACATAATCCATGTCAAATTAATCTAATGTTAATTAGTTTCCTCGAGGGTCTCACAGCACGTATCAAATGTTGATATTACTCAGAATATGTTTACATACGGAAAAAATAAATGTAAAGTAAATTTGGATAGCCAATAAATCTCACACCGAAAACTTGTATGTTGCTCAACGACAAAAATTGCGCTGCATATGGATAACAAATGCAGACATACAGTTGGCAAGCTGTATTTAAAAAACCTCAAATTCATAAGGCTGAAAGCTGACAGAGACAAAGAACGCCATTTCCTGTACTATAGATGATAAAAAAATACTTCACCAATTTGATAGGACCGTAGCTCTTTTCTAGATTAACCTTGACCTTGCACGCTCCAAATTACATGGAAAGATATATAAATACTTGAATACTCGATGAGCTATACATATATAAATAAACAGCATCTTATTTTATATGTTTTTGACCAGAATTTACCTTAAAAGAATAAGCAAATCTATTTATAGGAGCATTAGCTCCATTTGCTCATATTTGATTTATAACATACGAAAACGTATATCCAAATTATAAAAAGTCTAAACTAAACAATTTTCGATGCATGGACTCGATAATATGTATCCGCATTTTGTGTGTATTTTAGTCTAAACGCCATCTAATTAACCACCGGGGTGACCTCCGAAGACTGCCGACGGTCATATAACCCGATATAAACACAAATATAGATATAAATAGATAGCGAACACGTGCAATTGGATTCGATTTTTCTAGGTCTGTTTGATTTCATACTAAAGGTTAAATGAATATGTTATTCATCGTTTTTACCTGTATTAGAATGAGTTTTTGTAGATCGAATCAGTCAACCAAATGGTTTACCCTTGTTTCACTTTCAATGTTGACATTATTTCCTTTTGTTAGCTCAACACACCTAGTCATCTCTAGTTAAGGGATTAAATTGAAGGTCACTTGAATACGGATTCAATGAGGTCGAATTATTCACTTGCAAGTGAATAATTTATCAGCGATGTTTCTATCTTATTTTGACAAAATTGAACCAAACTGGCTGATAAAAGCGAATGATTATTTCTCTATTTCACTTTCATTAATGATTGAACCAAAAAAAATCAAAAATTTTTATTTTTTCAATATCTCGTAGCTAATGCCACTTTAAGGCTATATTTGCCTGAAAGGGTTAGAACCTTAAATTTTCTAGTAAATTTCTAAACTTATAAAGGGAGAATTTATTATAAGAAAGGAGTTTTATAAATCATGTGAGTATCAAAGCTACCTGTTTTATATCGTTCAGTGGTATCCGTTTATTCTTTTGATTAATGGTTGTACCTTTGATCAGTTTCTTTTATTTTGATTCTTAATTTTTGAGTTATTTCCCATACTTCAATATAATTCAAAGGTACCAAAAAGAATATATGGGAGAAATAATTAACGAATCAATAAGCATAAAGAAGAATTTATGAATAGTAGGGCGAGTTACTCAATTCGAAGAAATGCTAGCATAAAATTTCAGAAATCTTTAAAAGCAAGGGGTAACCGACTAGTAACAACTGTTTAGAACAATAAATCGGAAAATTAAATATTATAAATAAAGGATAATATGTAAAGATAAATACTCGTCCTGAATTTGAAGCAATATTTGCCACTGGACGATATGCAAACAACAACCAACTAATCGTTACAAAAAGAAATTAAAGTGTAGAAAACACAGTACAATAGGAACGAGAAACAACACCAACATTTTATTTCAAATAGGGATCAAGGAATTTTTCCTCAACCGTGTCACAGAGGACGTCTGGTTGAGTTTCAGAACGTGGGTCAAAGTCTACTAAACACATTTTCTGTAATCTTAAAAGAAAAAAATGTACATCGAGCACTAGTACTCTTCTGTATTTAATGTTTAATTTGTTGTACTTTCATTTTTATGCCCCCGCCGTAGCGGAGGGGGCATTAAGTTTTACCCTTGTCCGTCTGTACGTCCGTCCGTCATTACGTCCCAAAATTGGTTTCCGTTCTCTAACTTGAGTTTGCATCAACCAAATGCTATGAAACTTATACACAATGCTTATTACCACAAAACACAGATCAAGTATGAATTTTGGTGGCGTCACTTTTACCGTTCTAGAGTTATGCCCCTTTATAAATGGAAAAAATGCAAAATGTTTAGTTTCCGTTCTCTAACTTAAGTTTGCCTCAACCAAATGTTATGAAACTTATACACAATGCTTATTACCACAAAACACAGATCAAGTTTGAATTTTGGTGGCGACACTTTAACCGTTCTAGAGTTATGCCCTTATAAATGGAAAAATTGCAAAATTTTTATTTTCTTCTAAATATCAAGTCATTTTTAAAATTGGAGTTATCTTCCTTTGTCCATGATTATAGTTGAATCAACTACAATCAATGCTTTATACAATGCAATGTTTAATTTTGACTTCCACTGATAAAACACAGATCAAGTTGAATTTGGGTAGTGTCACGTTAACCATTATTGAGTTATGTCCCTTTATAAATCGAAAGATTGCAAAATTTTTATTTTCCATTCTGTAACTTAAGTTTGCCCCAACTAAACATTATGAAACCTATACACAATATTCATTACCACAAAACTAAGATCAAGTACAATTTTTTTGTTTCCGTTTTCTAACTTAAGTTTGCCTTAACCAAATGTTATGAAACTTATACACAATGCTTATTACTACATAATACAGATTAAGTACAAAATTTGGTGGTGACACTTTTACCGTTCTAGAGTTATGTCCCTTTATGAACATAAAAATTGCTGAATTTTTTAGTTTGTCTCAACCAAATGTTATAAAACTTATACACAATCGTTCTAGAGTTATGCGTGTTTACAAATAGAAAAATTGCTGAATTTTTAGTTTCTGTTCTCTACTTAAGTTAGCCTCAACCAAATGTTTTGAGACTTACACACAATGCTTATTACCACAAAACTCAGATCAAGTTCAAATTTGGGTAGCGTCACTTTTACCGTTCTTCAGTTATGTCCCTTTATAACTATATGATATGCAAGAGGGGGCTTCATCTGTGTCCACATGTGGACACTGTCCACATTTATTTATTATCATTTTAAAATCCGAGAGCTTTTCATGTACTGATTTATCTAGTTAGTTCTTTTTATGCCCCCGCCGTAGCGGTGAGGGCATTAAGTTTTACCCTTGTCCGTCTGTACGTACGTACGTACGTACGTACGTCCCAAAATTGGTTTCCGTTCTCTAACTTGAGTTTGCCTCAACCAAATGTTATGAAACTTATACACAATGCTTATTACCACAATACAGAGATCCAGTTTGAATTTTGGTGGTGTCACTTTAACCGTTGTAGAGTTATGCCCCTTTATAAATGGAAAAATTGCAAAATTTTTAGTTTCCGTTCTCTAACTTAAGTTTGCCTCAACCAAATGTTTTGAAACTTCTACACAATGCTTATTACCACAAAACACAGATCAAATTTGAATTCTGGTGGTGTCACTTTAACCGTTCTAGAGTTATGCCCTTATAAATGGAAAAATTGCAAAATTTTTATTTTCTTCTAAATATCAAGTCATTTTTAAAATTGGAGTTATCTTCCTTTGTCCATGATTATAGTTGAATCAACTACAATCAATGCTTTATACAATGCAATGTTTAATTTTGACTTCCACTGATAAAACACAGATCAAGTTGAATTTGGGTAGTGTCACGTTAACCATTATTGAGTTATGTCCCTTTATAAATCGAAAGATTGCAAAATTTTTATTTTCCATTCTGTAACTTAAGTTTGCCCCAACTAAACATTATGAAACCTATACACAATATTCATTACCACAAAACTAAGATCAAGTACAATTTTTTTGTTTCCGTTTTCTAACTTAAGTTTGCCTTAACCAAATGTTATGAAACTTATACACAATGCTTATTACTACATAATACAGATTAAGTACAAAATTTGGTGGTGACACTTTTACCGTTCTAGAGTTATGTCCCTTTATGAACATAAAAATTGCTGAATTTTTTAGTTTGTCTCAACCAAATGTTATAAAACTTATACACAATCGTTCTAGAGTTATGCGTGTTTACAAATAGAAAAATTGCTGAATTTTTAGTTTCTGTTCTCTACTTAAGTTAGCCTCAACCAAATGTTTTGAGACTTACACACAATGCTTATTACCACAAAACTCAGATCAAGTTCAAATTTGGGTAGCGTCACTTTTACCGTTCTTCAGTTATGTCCCTTTATAACTATATGATATGCAAGAGGGGGCTTCATCTGTGTCCACATGTGGACACTGTCCACATTTATTTATTATCATTTTAAAATCCGAGAGCT